TTGAGCCAAATATCTTATCAGCAAGATATGTTAGAGCTGAAATTTTTTATCAATGTGGAAATTTTAGTGCAGCACTTAAAGATTTAGATTATGTTCTTGAAAAAGACAATTCTAACAAATCAGCTTTAATTCTACGAGGACAAATTTATAAAAGATTCCAGTGTTAGATTGATTTATTTGATAAAGATACGGTTAATCCCTTCATAGTCACACTATCAGGTGCAATAGTTAATTTTTTCATGAATGTGCTTATAGCGAGATGTTCTTATTATTGGTTCTTGAAAAAAGAGTGATTGTAACAGGTTTTTATATAATATAATTATAGAGATGATGACTATAAAGAAATTTAACTGTGCACTTATCATTCTTCTTATTATTTGAATAATCTAATATTATTTTTCAACAATATTTTTTGTGAAACCAACACTTCAAACACAATATTACTCTAGTTGTTTCTGCTTTCAGTCTATTTCTTAATTCTGTAATTGTTTGTCCAGCCATGAAAAAGCCTGTTCTGAAACTACACTTTTAGCTTGAATACATAAATAATCTCTTACAATTTGACTCAAAATCAGATATTCTTGTTAAACTTGTCATTAAAACAAGAGATTAATTTGGTATTCTAAGGATATTGCTAAATACTATTCCAATCCATTATATATATGTAATGAAATGGTTAAAGTATTATTATTATTTCCTTCGTCAAAAGAAGTTACATATATTTGTAATTATTATAATGCTGAAAAGTATTTGATTAATGCTCCAATCGGGTCGGGCCAATCCGTGATCCGACACTCCGGATCGGGGGTCAAACCCGACCCGAAATATTTTGAGTCAGCCTAAAAATCGTTATTTCTCGTTCAATATTAATTCAAATTAAACGAAAATTTGTGAATATACACAATTACATTCCGAACAACTCTACTTAAGACACAAATACAATTGTCTTAGTAAAAATAAAAGTTATTAACGAAAAACGATTTTACGATTTTCGAATCAAACCCGATCCGAACAGAGCTTTAAATTTGATATTCCATTTAAAATTCCATACTGGAGATCAGTTTGAGACTTTAAAACCGGGTTGTAGCCATAACAATAATTACTCGCACAGATTTACAAGGTGTATGCAATCTGGAAAAGAAATATCGCCCTCGAGAAATGGTTAGGTATTTTTCACAAAAGCCAGAATATGCATAAAGGATATTAGTATGCTCATAAAAATTCTTCCATTTAATATGAGAACAGATTGGAAAAGCTTTATTAACATTTTTATTGCGTTGCCACGAAGCCAATACTGAAGAAAGTCTCACTCTAATTTATGACCTAAGCAAAGAAGCGGCAACGCAGAATAGTTTATTTGGAATGAATTACCTGAAGATGTCAGTAGAATCATACCCACATATAAAATGAAAAAAAACCGAAACTAATCCAAAACTCTTTTTTCTAATTAACTTAAAATCTGAAACTTGATTTGATATTGTTAAGTTTAGAAAAGCTTTGGTAAGTTCAACCATCAAGTAACCGAAACTAAAATTTTTTTCAAAACAGTTTAGGGAATCATCTTTAATTGGGACATGGCCGGAACATAGTTTGGACGTAGTTGAGTCAGTTGTGACTTAGTAGGGATGGGACAGAACTTAGTAGGACAATTTCAAAAACGCTTGGGACATAGAAAATGTATAATACTACCTGACAGTTTGCATTTTCGAAAAATAAAATAAAGGCTGTATAATACTGGTGAAGTCTCAGTGATTATTATACAAGAGATGATGGCATCATGATTGTTCCAATTCGTTAATCAATTTTTTTTTAAACGAACTTATAGATAAATCGTTCATAACATAAGGAGTAATCCTTCATTAACATATCATTAAGATGTCACGAATTAAAAGTCGTTGGAATTGAGTACACGATAAAAATCGACACGTTAAATGTTCATATGATTTTCATCCATCTTTGGATGATAATCACAGTCAAGCTCAAAAAAATCGTTATAATGAACGCTAAATAAAAATCGTTATAAACAAATGCTTTTTATCATAATCGGGAATTTTTCAAAATTTCGCAATAACCAAATCTCGCTATATACGAAGATTGTTATAGAGCTTTGACTGTATGTTTATATATAAAAAATTCCTTGTCCTATCATTATCGTTATTGACAATAATGATAATCAAATAAAATCCTCGACTATCACTGCTGTACTGTACTATGCTAATTTTTATGCCCCGTCAGCTATTTGTTTTTTATACACAATAATGATAAATTAATTATTTTTTTTTTCACTATCACAGTTTGCCAAAAGGTGTATTGTTCGAATTAATAAAATTCTTACATCCCATTTGCTCTCTTTGTTTATTTTATACCAAGTGATCTCACGTGAGACCTATTTATATATGCTGATTTCTGATTGGTCAATTTATGCCACATGATTATTGTTTGTGAGTTTAAGAAGAGGGGAATATTAAACGAACGATTAAAATTCAAACAGCCTTAACGTTAATGTGGAAATCTGAGAATCTGAGAATTTAGAGATCAATCAATATATCCAATATCGATAATGTAGACCTACTCTCAAGACTCTTCCAACCAAATTAACGTTAACAAACAACAAAGCCTACATGAACTACCATGTTTTGGTTAACATGAAATTAAACAAACGTAGTATTTATCTCTTATCTCACGAGTTTATCTGATACATGTAGTTTGATTTATCCCACACTAACTGCAATTTGCATGACTACACCTTTTTTGCAACAAAAAATTCGCAACAAAACTAATTTAATTTACAGTTTTTGGCAGAAGACACAAAAGCTTAGCTTCATATATTCAAGTAAATCGATTCTAGTCTATCGTCCCAATCAAATAATATTCGTCCAGCTTCTCTTCTTAAAAAACTTGAAATTTGAGACTTTCTATTATAGAGTTCTGAAAGAAAATTTTATGAGCTTGATACGTAATACATGTAGTATTTATTACGAGTTCAAATTTAGCAATTTTATGCATCATCTGGTGATAGTATATCATTTATTACCGGATCACTTTTTCTTGAATTGCCGCTGTGGTGATTGTGTCCTCACGCTTTATTCCCATAAGCCGATCATTGAAAATTAACGAAGTTTTTGGAAAAAATGACCTTGGAAAAATATTTCAAGAAATGCATGATGATTCAATTCTAATGCATTCAATAAATTATTGGTTCCATTAATTAATCTGTGAACATTTAAAGCATCTCATACTCAGAAATAGTTACTTAGTGGGTGTGATTTCAAATTCTTAAAACTAAATCTTGGTACCTTGCTGATTCTATATCTATGGAACTCTAAAATTTGGAGCACCTAAGAATCGTACAAGATACAACATAATTCTTTGCCTTCTGAATAGAATTAACAAACTGCATAAGCATCAATCTGCCTGGTAACTTTGTCTTCAGTAATTTGGAAGTAATACCAAAAGCTCACAGATTTGATGCTCTGGGATCTTGTCGTACAATCAAAGATTTTTAAACTCGGAATGCATATTAGAGCAAATAAAGTGCATTTAAGGGTTATTCTTGAATTTGTAAAGAAAGTTCATATAAAGTTGGGCTACAATTATTGATATTACTTTAATGGAACTATGTAGTTGACAATCGATTAGTAACATCAATTATCTTTCCATCGATTACTATTGAATATAATCTGTAAAAAGCAAAGAATACATTCGACTTATTTTTTAATGCTTCTCCTATACTTTCAAATTGCTTGATGTAAACTCTGTCGTCTACATACATCTTTTCGATCACATGACAATTGAATCAGTTCTGCAAAAAATATAAAGCATCAATAGCTCAATAATTTCTCCACATTGAAATCAGTAAGCTCTTTGTCGTTTAGGCATAACCTAAGCTTTTACTATTTTTTCCAAAAGTAGAATTAAGAAAAAAAGATTAGAGAACTTGGATACTTCATTGTGAAGATATTGGCATGTAAAAATAGTGCCTCGCAATGTTTTTGTGAATAACTCCAAAAATTGATAAATAACAATTATAAAATGTCTATTTTCTAATACTAGAAAGCTAGACACATTTATTAAAAAAAAGTACAGTGATGGGCAGTGAAAGTTTGCTAATTTTTTTAGATGCTGATGCTTTTGGCAGAAAATTCCTGTGTGACAATACGCGGCTGAAAGTCTTGCTGAATTTTCGTAAAATTCTAGTGTGTTTTCGAAATTATCTTTGTTTCGATAGATGCCTGCAAGTTGTCCTTTGCTGACCGATTGCTGTGCAAACAGTCCAATCATGAAGTCACTTGTATTGCCATAGATTTTCTTCTTCAATATGTTCTATTGAGAAATACCGCAATACGTATTTGGAATATTGTCATGAGTTTATCGATACAATAAATAAGTCATGTGTTTCTTACCTTAGCTAATAAATATCCGTTTGTGAAGCTATATTCAAGGAATGAAATTAATTTTTGGTATAGTTTTTTATAAATTTAATTAAGCTGCCTTAACCTAACGAAAATTGTCAACAAATATGTAAATAATTATATCAAGTAAAAGACAGAAAATTTTGTAAAAAAAACATATATTGAAACAAATGATATGTTAAAAGTTCCCAAAACAAGGGATTAAAAACAAAATATACCCTCATCCCAAAACGCTTTATCATTTGAGAATATATTTGAATAAATACTGAAGCGGATCAAGCTGCTCACAATGATCAAAAAGAAATAATAGCGACTGAAAATTTTTGGCTTTTAGGTTTATTAAAAAGATACAATAATAATTTGAGATAATCAGAAATATTTTACACGAGTCCAGCCCTCATTTCTGATATCTTAAATAAAAAAAGAAAAAAATGCCTATTTGCCAGTATTAGCACCAAAATCTAATATCAAAAAGCTAGACTACAATTCACAAATTAATAACATTCATGTTCGCGTACGATTCAAATAACAATTGAATTGAGTAACCGTAGCAGTAACTGTTTTTGTTAGTGCTTCTAATATAGTTGATTATGGTTTTGGTGGTGGTGTACCAAGTGCATCATTAATGCGAGCGTCTCGATCCGCGGCAGTATCTAAATAAAAGATAAAAGTATTTTTTAAATAAGAAGCAATCATTAATTCTATAAATTTAATAAAAATAATAAATACCACAAAGGATCGAAGTTCCACGTTTATTAACCAACGGCACAGCAGCGCACGTCAAACCAGTATTGCATTTAGTTGATACAAATTTCCCACCAGAACATTGCGCGAATTCACCTTTAACGCAAGCATTAGCTTGAGTAGTAGGATCACAAGTCGAATCACTAGCCAATGATTCAAAACTTTTATTCAAAGCTATAGCGTCCAGTGCATTCAGGCGTCTGGTTTCTTTTATATCTTGACGACGGATGACAGCTGGAGATGTGAAAGATGAAAATGATAGGATAACAAAAAGGAGAAGAGATGATTGAGCGAATTTCATTTTTGAGGTTTTTGACAAGTTGTAAATTGCAATAAGGAAGTAAAATTGGTCAGGGCTTTGAATGAATGCTACAAATAAATTTCTGGGTTTTTTTACCTGATCAAATCCTTCTTTTATAGCAAATAAAGAACGCGTCTTAGCTTAGTTTGTCACCTTCTTAATTTAGATTCTTCCGCGTTGATTTGGGAATTTATTAATACAAGTTTCAAAAATAACAAGAATCGTTTACTCCTTAACAATTAATTGCAACCATAGATGGGACCCAAAGACATTCCGAGGAACCAAAATTTAACTGGTAATATTATAGAAAAGAACTTTCTCGATAATATTACCAGTTCAATTTTGTCTTCCTAGTTAAGAAGTTATACGGAACATGAAACATAAGAGTTCCTGCTATATTAATATTAGCACACTGAAAATTCGGTAAACCGAGCAAATAAATCTCGCGATCTTAAACTATTAGGTAACAGCCATATAGTATTCGAGTATTATATGTTTAAAAAATTTTCTATAGATTGAGATTAAAAGCATAGCCAGGTATTCATTTCTCGGTGTTTCATAAATATGTATACGAACCAAATTAGTCGCGTTACAAGTAAAACATGATTTTCCTGAATACCGATATGAATGAATTATAGTTAATCCCGAAACAGTTGCATTTAGCGAAAATGTTATTCCCTGTTGAAACCAATAGACATTGATACTAGTACTCAGCAATATTATACAAGGAAAAGCATTAAGCATTTTTGAAAATACATTGTTCTGTTCAATTGAACCGAGAGATCAATTACATACATCCCTTTACTCTTGATCCTTCCTGACGTCAATGTTTCGGATTAACTATAAGAATATCATATAGTTCCAACATTGTTTTCTCTAAAAAAACAGATTGTACCGCTTTACTCTACTTTGAAACATTTCCCGTAGAAAAAGCAAAATATATTAATGCCCGTTTTTCAAAACAAGCCACATTCGCATATGAAATAAGAAATAAATATTATAAATCTAATTAGATTGAATACGTATATTCAAATTTGGATATTACTTGGCCATTTGACAGTATCGTAGAAAGGATAATCATATATTCAAATGATGATTACAATGAAGTTTCGAATTTTACTTCTCGTTTTAAGCAAAAAACAAAATAATATTTCAATTTTAATCGTTAAGAACCGAGAAGTTACTAACTTCTAATAAGCAGGAGTGGCTCACTTTCTTCCAAACAGTGTAAAATGCTTAATAGCGAAAAGTCATATCGTAATTTACAAAAACTTTGCTACTTAATTTAATTCAAAGCCATTCTTTCAGTAATAAGAAAATTGCACTGTGAATCTTGAATTAAATTTGACTAAATTAAGGGTATTTTAAGCAGTGCTACATGATATAGGTGTGGTATAATTACCCGAAAACCCCTTTCTCCGACATAACATTTTCTCGAAGTCATCTACCGACAACTCATTTCACCGACCACCCATAACCTTAACCCTAACCCTAATTAAAATTTAACGTTAATTACATGCAAAGTCAACCGGTTAATACATTATCACGGGAAACGTCTTATTGGAGGCAATGGTGTCGGTTAATTTTCTTTTCGGAGAAACATACTATCAGGTAAATGTCCCTTATGGGAAACGTCAGGTTGGTAAATCTCCACTTGGAAACAGGACGTCGGGCAAATGGGATCGGATAAATTTATTGTTGGGGTAACGGGTGTCAGAGAATCAGGTGCATCCCTATATTCTCTCCAAGTTAAAAACATTATCGATTTTCTTTATGAGAATATTTTTCACAATAAATTACCGGAAATCCAAAAAAAAAGCATAGTAAAACATAGTAAAATTGAAATTATCTCTTTATAATGAAAATTTTATTTTTATTAGTAAATATTTTTTGTTTTTATATCAAAAGAAAGCTAAGAACCTGTATTTTAACATAGATTTTTTTATAGA